ATTACCTTTGCTCAGGTCTCAGATAATACTCCAAGGCTGTGCTTCCGGAGAAAAACCACCACATGATCATTTTCAATGACTAGTCTCAGCAGGAGCCCTGTTTAGGGATATTATCTAGGCTGGAGAGTGAAGTAATAAAGTACAAGGCACAGGGCGGGTTTAAGCAAGGACACCGTTTCGGGTCACACAGGCTGCAGTGTGATTGATGGAGTGGCGAGAATGGCGAACTAGCGATGTACAGCTGGGTTACTAGACGAATCTTACTTTTTCACAGAGTTTTTCCTAATGGGCTGATGGCAGAAGCTGGGTTGTTTTGATTCAGGAGAAGAGAAACTTAAAAAAAAAAAAAATCGTTTCCCCAAATTACTAAAGAAAAACTTGTTTATTATAAAAATTTAGAAAATACAAACTAAAAGGAAAAATTAAAAATCACCATCAGTCCACTTTGTAGAGAGAATCGCAGTAAACGAGGTTGACTTACATACTTCCGTTATTTTTCCTATGCCCAAATACACATTTTTATTTAAAATGGGTTCGTGCTGTACCTACTACTTTGAAAACTATTTTTCACTTAACTACTTTCCTGTCTCTCTGTGTCAATACTACAACATACTTATTGTAAATTAGTTTTTTAATACAAAACCAACAGATGCTCTTGTTAAAAATGTCAAAGTAGCCCTTACTGGTATTGCTCAGTGGTTAGAGTATCAGCCCAAGGACCAATGAGTCCTGGGCTCAATTCAGGTCAAGGGCACGTAACTCAGATGCAGTTCACCCCTGGCCCTGGTTGGGGTCCTGTGGGAAGCAAGCAGTTGATGTGTCCCTCTCGCATCAATGTTTCTCATTCCCCTCTCTCCCCCCTCCCATCGTATCTGAAGACAAATGGGAAAATATCCTCCAGTGAGGATTTATAAAATTCTCAGAGTATAAAATAAAATGTAAAATTATTTCTCCTCATCTCCTAGCTCCCAGTCTCACTCCCCTGAGGTAACCCTAAGAATTTCTCTTACTATTTCTCTCCAGAAGTTTTCTATGTACACACACGCGCGCGCACACACACACACACACACACACACGAATAGTATTGAATTAATTAATTATCTCAAGTACTCAATCATATCCTGTTCTGTGGAAATTCAGGGCCTTTCCACTTTTGCATGACAGTGAGCATCCTTGTGGTTAAATCTTTGCATACACCATGATTATTTCCTTAAGATAAGTTTATTTCACCTTAATTAATCTTAAGGTACATTTTCTTAAGATAAAGAAAACAAGTTGTTAGATTTTACGTATGCACAATTTATTTATTTATTTATTTTTTTTTAATTTTTTTATTTTTTTATCCTCACCCGAGGACATTTTTCCATTCTTTGTTCAGGTAGAGTGGGAGGGAGAGAGAGGAACAGAGAGAGAGAGAGAAACATCGATGTGAAAGGAACACATCGAGTGGCTGCCACCCGCACAACTGACCAGGGCCGGGGACAAACTGCAACCGAGGTACATGCCCTTAGCGGGAACCGAACCCGGGTCTCTCAGGACCGCAGGCCGACGCTCTAACCACCGAGCCAAACCGGCCAGGGCTGTATGCACAATTTAACACTTTTGATATGTGCAGTCCATTTGCCCTTCACCTGGTTGGTGTCAATTTCACACTCTCACCAATAAGCCACATTGAATTCTTAAAGCTTTTAAATTATTTATTTTATTTATTTTTAAACAGAACACACTGTGAGTTCTGCACTTTGTATTTTTTTAAAATATTTTTAATTGATTTTTTTAGAGAGAGAAGAGGGGAGAGAGAGAGAGAAAAATCAGTGAGAGTAAAACATCAATCAACTGCCTCATGCACGCCCCCTATTGGGGATGGAGCCTGCAACCCCCGCATGTGCTCTGACTGGGAATCGAACTGGGACCTCTCAGTCCATGGGAAGACACTCAATCCACTGAGCCACATCGGCTGGGCTGTTTTATTTTTAAAAAACTTTTAAAAGTATACCACACATACAGAAAAGTATACAAGTCATGAGTTAGAACTGCACTGTCCAGTACGGTAGCCACTAGCCACATGTGGCTGGCCGCTGAGCACTTGAAATGTGGCTCGACAGAATTGAGGTGTGCCAGAAGTATAAAATACACACCCAATTTTGAAGAATTGGTACAGGAAAAAAAATAAAATATCTCACTAATAATTTATGCTAATCATATATTGAAATGACATTTTGAATGTATGTTAAGTAAAAGTATATTATTAAAATTAACTTTCGTTTTATCTCACTTTTTGAATGTTGCTGCTAGAAAAAATTTAACTACATATGTGGCCTGTATTATATTTCTCTTGGACAGCACAAAGTAAGACATGGTGTGGCTCCTCATGTAATAAAACCTAAAAGCTATACACTCCCCATCTGCTTTCTCCCTCTTCCTCTCCTGCTTTCCCACCTGCCTGTGCCTCAGTTATACCCAGGGCTCTTAGAACTAGGTAGCTCTATTCACCATTCCAAGTATTTGTCAGGAGTGATCAATAAACATGTGATAAATGTCCACTTTTGAAGGTAATGGGATTGAGTACTATGACTGTGATCTACCAGAACCGGCTGTTAAGTTAAACTCTTAAGTTGCAAATTGAATAATTTGTTAATTGATTTCTTGGAATATGTAAGTCTTTAGGTTTCAGGAGTTGCAGCCGAGTCCAACATTAGGGCCTCTATTAAAATGTGCACACAGGGCCTGAACAGACAGAACCCACATGCTTGATCGTCAGCTCACTGATGGAAGTTCACTGTCTCTCTGGGCCTCATTTTTCTTTTCTTTTTTTTCTGTGAAGCGGGGATGATGGAGAGGCGCACATAGTTCCAGACAAAAGTAAGCAGCACTATGTAAACATTGGGAAGAAGAGAGAGGACTGGGGTATTGCCGAGGCTACGGCAGGCTGTTTCCTCTCACCCCCCACCTCCTGAGGTTTGCTTAGCCATCTCTGCCTCCTCATCAGCCCCAACTTTCCCTTCTGCCCATACTGACTGTACTAAACACACTCTAGGTACACACAGCTTCTCAAACACAAACGCTGTTCACAGATTGGCTCCCACTCCCAGTCACCAGGGTAGAAGCAAAATGCAGAGGAGATGGCAGAAAAAGGCCCCTGGGTGAGCACATGAATCCTGTTCCCTGTCTGCCTTATTGTTGGCTTGCAACTTGTTCTTTGAGTCACTTTTTCACTGGTCTCAGCTTTAGAGTTAAAAACAAAATAATAACAAAGTATTAAAAAAAAATCATAAGAGTATTTTTGGCTGTACTGTGTGCTTGATTGTTTGGGACGTGGCCAAAACCCTTGCTTCATTCCACTGACTCAGTCAGAGTGGCTGCTGTTGGAAAGGTATCCAGGTAAGAGGAATGAAAATAAATGAACATCTCTGTTCCAACTTGTCTTTATCATCATTCTTTTGTTGTTTTATTATGCTTAATTTTGTAAGAATAATGTTATTAGTCCTTTGGAACTCACCACATAGAGTTTTTATAACATTTTACTGTGATAAATTAAAGAATCAATATAAATTCTAAGGAGAAATATGAGAGTTTTTTGTAAAAGACCCTCTCCTACTTGCCGCCAAATTTGGAGAATAAGGAAAATACCTCATTGAAAGGTACGTGACTTCAGGACTGAAGGAGCTCCATTTCTGTTTGCACTTAGTAGAGAACTTGAGTAATGTCTTCCAGGCCTTAATTTTGCCTTCTGTGAACTGGGGTGAGAGGGTTCCCCTTTCTTCCTATGTTCAGATAGGCATTGCAATGAAAGCAATAAACTAATGCAAAAGGAATAAATTATTCTGGGCTGCAGTGGTCTTGACTGACATTAAATTTCCTTTCCAGTTACACATTCTGAGATTATAAATAAGTGCATTCACTCTTTCCAACTCACTGTGTTTAAATACATGTGAAATCCAAAGACCTTTTTTTTTTTTATCCTCACCCGAGGACATTTTCCCATTTTTTTGCTCAGGTAGAGTGGGAGGGAGAGAGAGGAACAGAGAGAGAGAGAGAAACATCGACGTGAAAGGAACACATCGAGTGGCTGCCACCCGCACGACCGACCAGGGCCGGGGACAAACTGCAACCGAGGTACGTGCCCTTAGCGGGAACCGAACCCGGGTCTCTCAGGACCGCAGGTCGACGCTCTAACCGCTGAGCCAAACCGGCCAGGGCCAAAGACCTTTTTTTTTAATCACAGTAAACCATGCTATAATTTTTGCCTTACACAAAGTGCTAAGCACCCATTTTCTCTCTTTATATTTAAGCTTAGCATATATTTCTTAAGGTCTTTCTATCTCTCCTTACTGTGACCCATTACCCAAGGGTTAAGCAAATTTAAAAGTTTTCAGTGATGCCACAGGCTCACAAGGGAGCAGCCTTTCAGTAGCCCTGGGTGAGCAAGAGAAACCAAAAACTCAGTGAACCTCGTTTTGATTAAAATAATTGTTAGGACTTTGAGAATAAAATAGTTTATTCTTATCAGCAGATGAAGCCAATATCTATGAAATAACAGATTCTCAATGAAAACATGACTAAGTACTAAAGAGTATGATATCAAACTTTATTACAATTTTTTGTATATATACCATACAAAGTTATTTTTATTTTCAGGTTAATTTTCCTATCAGAAGCATTACTTCCAACCTAACTTGCCTTCTCAAATTTTTAAAAACTCTCAGATGAAAACAAAACTGAGCAGAACTTTCTTTCAGGTTTCCCCAAAGTTCCCCCAACAAGCCTGAACTTCCTGCAGTGGGTACATTCCAAACACAAGCTAAGCTCCCTCCTAAGTGAGGATTTACTCTTGTTTGTATGGAAACCGCCCCAGAACCACCCCAGGGATTGAACTTGAGGTTGAGGGTGGGAGCAAAGTGGAAGTCAGGGGTGAGGATGGCGGGCAGGGGGAGATGGAGACGTTTTCGGGAAAGTGCCAGGGTGCTTTATCTTTACTTGGGTCTGCGTTCTCTCTGCAGAATGACATCTTCGAGTGGTCCAGGGACCACCGAGTCCACCACAAGTACTCGGAGACCGACGCTGACCCCCACAACGCCCGCCGGGGCTTCTTCTTCTCCCACATTGGGTGGCTGTTTGTTCGGAAGCATCGAGACGTCATCGAGAAGGGGAAAACCCTTGACGTCACCGACCTGCTGGCTGATCCTGTGGTCCGTTTCCAAAGAAAGTAAGTGATCGGGCACCACAGGGCTGTCCCTGGGGGACAGGACCAAGGGACCGAGTGCAGTGGACGCAATTATGTCCCCAAGTAGTTATCCCCGATGATTCAGTCTTCTTGTTAGGATTGCTCCTTGCTCATTCGTTTCCTTTTGCTCATGAGGTTTTCCCTGCTGGCACATTTGTTTTTATTTTCATTTGAATGTGAAATAGGTTTCCTTTCAGGCCCGTCATTTCCTTCAGACAGTCTGCGTGGCTCACTTCCCGCACCGGCTCTGTGGTTCCCCACTGAGTGTTTCCCCAGGTGACAGGGGGGAAGACGCTGTGTGTCCGTGGCACCCTGACTCCAGCAGCACTGGACTCTCGGTGCCCTGCTCGCTCTGGAATTCTCCGGTGGCGAAGGCAGCCCTCCCCTCACGTCTAGAAATGTCACACCAGTCGGATTGGAGAAACGAGGCGGGAGCAGAGCCTCAGAGCGCTGTGCGCGGGGCGCAGTCAGTCATCTGCAGGGCGAACCCCGTCCAACAAGCACACGGAGCGAGACTGCCTACGATGGGGCTGGCAAGGGGGGAGCCATCGTTACTCACTTTTTAACCAGGAAGCTGGCGAGGACTGGACCCATGTCGGTCTGGGTCTGCAAAGTTGGCCACCGTGAGAGCATTTATAAGTGGGCTTGTTGCCCCAAAGCAATGGGCTTGTGTTTTATATTCAAAGCTGAGAATATTGTCCCTCTGGTTAGCGCCTTGAGAAAATATACTGAACAAGTGACAACTAGAGACCATGTCCACTGACAGGCAGGAGTCTGAACAGAATCTCCTGTAAATGGGGATGGGGGCTGTGCCTTTGTCTGACACAGGAGATCCTGCATGAAATGAAGTGTGGCTTGGAAATATGCTTGGTTCCCCCTCAGCCGCTGTGTTTACACTGGGGGGCAGTGGAGCATGGTGAGAACATGGCAGACCAGGCAGACGATGCTGAGGACCGCACTGTGGCTGCTCCTCCTCCTGGCAAAACAACTGACCAATTTAAGGCTCAATTTCAGCTAGAAAATGACAGTAACACTAGTACCCATCTCCTACAGTGTTTATGAGGGCAAATTAAAAAACAATGCGTGGGAAATGCCCGGCATCTGGTAGAGCTTAGGTCAGTGAGGATTATTACACAGGCAGTTGCTCCTCTAGAGGGTCCCTTGCGTTTCCATCCCCTGCTTTGATCGTAACACAGGCTCTTCTCTCTGTTCCTCAGTTCAGCCCTTTCAAGTGGACACACCCAGTATCAGTAGCCAAAAGTTTTATAGCAGAAAATAACAAAATGTTTCCAATGAACAATTAAATGATTTGTTGATTTTGATTTTTCACCATGAGAAAAATCTGCAAAATTCAGAAATGTAGAAAGGAAATCACAGTTCTAACACAAAAACCACAGCCGTTATTAATATTCTTTGGTATATCTTTCTATATTTTATGCACATATTTGGTATATTTCACATGAGGGCAGTCATACTGTGCATGTACTTTCTCACCTTTAACTTCAAACCTTCTTGTTGGCACGTTGTCAGAAGCTGTGTGAGTTCACTGGCTGAGTGTCACAGTTTACTTACCCACCACTCTTTGACTGGATATTTATGTGATTTCCAATTTTGTGATATAAATGATGTTGCTATACAATTAGTAATGTTTGGGGACAATTAGACCTTAGACGAATTTGAAGAGCTCAGATGAGAAGGCAAAGGATCTTCTATTTTATTAATAAGAACTGAGCTGAGTATAAAAAGTATTTCTCTGACCATGAAAGTGGAAGACTTTTTTCATCTTTTCCCTGAAAAAATTGTAGTACTGTAATCTTATTCATTGGGTGTGTACTCATGGTACATATGTCCAAAGGCTATTTCTAAATGCAGGCAGGAGAACAAAAACTATTTCAGCATGTTCCCTGAATAGTTATCTGAGAACATCTTTTATCACCAGTCCAATGATCAAAGAGGGTGGTAGCTATCAGAAACCATCTATTCATCTCATAATTCCATATATGTCATTGAGCTCCTGCTAGGAATCAGTGCTGAGGCTATAACTTTAAATAGACTAGTCCAGAGCACCACGGGAACACAGAGAGGACTCTCCTAGCCCACCCTGCAGGCTGGGGAGGGCGAGGAAAGGCCCATGGAATGAACTAGCTTCTAAGCCAAGACCTAAAACATGAGAAGTTAGATGAGGATGCAGAAAGGATATTTAATATGTCTGTCATTTCATAGAACTGTATAGCACCATTGAACGTTAGAGCTAGGAGGGACCTTAAAAAGAATTTTTCCTATGGGGAAACTAACCAAAAAAATGTAGATAGAAATCTGGGTATAATATTAGCGTCTTTGGGCTGCTATAGCAAAAATACCATAGACTAGGTGGCTTCGACAACTAACGTTTATTTCTCACAGTTCTGGAAGCTGGCAAGTCCAAGATCAAGTTTTCATTAGATTCAGTGTCTGGTGAGAGCTCTCTTCCTGGTTCATAGGCAATTGTCTTCTCATTGTGTCCGCATCTGATGGAAGGGGCAAGGGAGCTCTCTGGGGTCTCTCTCTCTCTCTCTCTCTCTCTTTTTTCCCACCACTCCCTGGGGTCTCTTTTATAAGGGCACTAATCCCAATCATGATGGCTCCACCCTCATAACCGAATTCCCTCCAAATGGCCCCACCTCTTAATACCATTACATTGACGATTAGGTTTTAATGTATGATTTTGGGGGGACACAAACATTCAATCTGTAGCAAGATTATTTGCTCCATGGTCTTTTAATTATATCTTGCTGTTTGAAAGGGGCTACACCAGTTCTCTGAAGTATGGGGGAGCACTCAGGTCCTTTGGTGATTATCCAGCTAGAGAACAGAGAGATCTGTGATCCAGAATAAGGAAAAGAGCTTCCGGGATGCACAGAGAGAGTGCAGCAGTTTGGGTGTTTTCACGTTCGTGAAGCCAGCTCTCCTGGTCCTGCCAGTCAGGCCACATGGAAGAGACAGACGCCTCAAGGAATGAGTCCTTGTGCTGAGGGGGTGAGCTGGACGTTGGATCCCATTATTAGTGGCATTGCCACATCAGGTCTCAGTTTTTGTTACCCTAGGCTGAGCTGGGGGCTTCCTGAGTAACAGAGAAAGGTGCCCAGCTTGTTTGGGGCCCAGTCCTGGGTCGTTTCAGTGGCACATCTTATAGACCCACCTGCTCCCATGTGGCTCTCTGAGGGCAGCAGTCCCGGTTCCAGTGTTGGCAGCCAGGGTCTGCGGTGGATTCCACTGCCCCCCCCCAGGTGCATTGTTCACGCAAACAGATCCAGCTAAGTGCCACTGGGACAGTTTCCTCAGATAGGCAAATGTGCACATGATAGACAGCAAGAATTTAGAGACTCCTTCATTCAGTACACTAGCACTAATATTGCAGTTGGTTGATCAAGCACATAAACGTGTGCTTAGTCATCCTACTGACAACTCACCAAAGAAAATCACCAGGAGCCAGGCTTGATCAACTTTTCATTATACAGAACCATAAAGAGAGAAGATAGTGCCCTGGCCGGTTTGGCCAGTGGTTAGAGCGTCGGCCCGCGGACCGGAGAGACCTGGGTTCGGTTCTCACTAAGGGCATGTACCTCGGTTGCAGTTTGTCCCCGGCCCTGGTGGAGTCATAGGGATGGCAACCAGTTGATGTTTCTCTCTCTTCCTCCCTCTCTCCCTCCCGCTCTATCTGAAGATAAATACAAAAATGTCCTCGGGTGAGGATAAAAAAAAAATTAAAAGAGAGAAGATAGTGGCATTAAGGATAAAAGGAATACTACACAGTTCAAGCTATAGTTCCAGACTTTTTCTCCAAAAGATAATTTTCCCAAGGCTCTTATAACAAGTAGTTAACTGGACTGCTTCAAGTTTTGCTGTAATTGCAAGTTGTGAATGAGAAAAAGACAGGGATTTGGAGGTGAGAGGGAGAGAAGCTAGGGGTATCATCTTTACATCCTGGCAACTCAGACCCCTGCCCTAGGTCCTGTGCCTTCAAGGGACATGCTTTTCCTCACAGGGTGAGGAGATCACAGGTCAAAGGGACATGCCTCCTGAAACCTTTTCCCATGTCTAGACAATGCCTTGGGTTCCCAGGATCCTGGAAATCCTTGCCCAAATGGCGTTGAGCTCACTACCAGAGCCTACCCCAACCTCTCCCGGGCTTTTCCCTCCTGGTGGAAAGCATGTGCACCGTAAGCCTGAATGGTGGCCTAGCAGCAGTGTTAGCCAGCGGGCTATCTTAGAAGTGTGAGCTCGGATGTTCACAGAAACCAGAAAGAACCAGGGACAGGAAGAGAAGGTGGGGCACAGGGTAGGGGTCTCCATCTTGGCTCGTGGCCTGGTCCCTGCCAATGTTGGGGGTGAGCCTGGAAGGGAGCTACTCAGATGTTTGACAGTGGGTCTGTCCATTAGGAACTGTGTTTGGCTTAAACAAGATGGTTGTTTATTTCTCTCCGATATAAAGGAATTGTGGTGATCCAAGGCATGCATAGCAACAGCACACGGTCTATAGAGAATAGCTTCTTTTGTCTTTCTGCTCCACCATCCTTAGCTGGTGGCTTTCATTCTTTCATTTTATTGTTCAAGATGACCACTAAAGGGTGAATCAATATGGGCTAGCAATTAGCAGCCTCTGCCATAGTTCCTTAATTGTTCTGCTTTTAGAAAAATAATCGGCCGTCTCATGTTTCTCAGTCTTAAGACATTTTTGTGAAGCAAGTGAGTAGTCTCTGCCTCCCTTTAGTAAGCAGGAACTGGAATCGCACATCCTCTTTCCTAGATGACAGGATGAGGATAAGATTCAGAGTCTGTTTCTCCCAGCGCTTTGCTTGTCCTGTTGATTCCTGTCTTAGAGAAGAAACTCCTGTGGAAACAGCTTGCAGACACTGCCGTGTGCATTTGTGAAGTCATTGAGGAGGATGCTAGTCTAGTGCAGACACGTGAAAACAAGGTTCTCGCCTCATCACTACAGTGAT